CCCAGTAGCCATTGGTAAATTTTCCACAGGCATGGCTGCCTTGAGTCGCCTCAGGGTACTCATAATTCAGTGGCCGCCGTTTATACAGGAGGCCGGTGCGTGTGAAGAACTGACGGTTTGGATAGGAATACCAAGGCAGGTCGTGTATTTTCCAAGCAGAGTTTTCACCAAACTCACCTGGTACATTCTGTTAACCAGTAGTTCCTTTTATTTTGTCTTTTAGCTTTAGGTTTTCTTGATGATGCATGTTCCGGGCTTCATTTTTCGCCGACTGTGTACAAACCTAAGACAGATTCCTTCTCAATGCACGCGGAAGGTAGGCTCTGTATTTCTCCCTGCCTAGTACGATTGAAGTTGTCTGTCGTTAACATTTCCCCCGACCGAGAAGCTGTCTATACATCTAAGTTGGAACTTAGAAGACCGGAACTAGAAGAAATAATGCCAGTATACCGTGTGCTGACCAAAGATGGTACGGCCTTTTCCCCCGAAGTAGAGCCACAGGTGTGTTCCCCCGTTTTATTCCATCTTGATTTGTTACTTACGATGACAGCTCGAAAAAGATCATGTATTGAAAATGTTCAAAACGATGGTTATGTTAAACACTATGGACCGCATTATGTATGAATCGCAACGCCAAGGACGTATCTCATTCTACATGACAAACTACGGTGAAGAAGCATGTCAGATTGGATCCGCCTCGGCTCTTAATCCAGGTATGTCGGGTTCGCCCGCGCGATATGATTGTTCCGCACAAATATGGATTTGTTTGTCGTTCTCTACTCTCTCACTGTCTTCTATTTCAAGATGATTTCATTTACGGACAGTATCGCGAGGCAGGTGTGCTCATGTGGCGTGGCATGACTTTGGAACAGATGATTGATCAACTCTACTCAAATGTTGGTGATTGTGATAAGGGGAGACAAATGCCCGTGCACTACGGATCCAGGGATTTACATTTTTCTACAATCTCCTCACCGTTAGCCACCCAAATACCCGTCTGTAAGTTATATCCACGTTTCCGAATCTTTATGCCCAATTATTTGGCAGGCGCTGCGACTCTCCAATGCTACTTTCACACATCCAATCACCCTGGGGAGAAACGATTTTAGGTTGACCGTGGAACTACACTGGAATCGTTTTAGGAACACCGAGATGCTTGATTGAATCCACAGAAGCGAACACCACAATGTTAAAACCGTCCGTCTTTGAATCGGATTTTCCAGTCAACTGTTACGGCGAATGTCAGAGATGATGCTGCAACTGCACACCCCGACAACGACTGTTTTTATCTCACTGAACTATGTAAGATCATTCAACATAGGGTCATCGTCACCGTTGACAGGAATTCATCAATAGGAAATACTCGTGCTTAATTTCTAAAACCTTCGTATGTGCGTAGGATACGTGCATACCAGATGGCTCAGTGGTTAGA